CCAGTGGCACAGGGAGAGCAGGGGCTGCGGGACTGGTGACAAAAGGTCCAATGCGACCTCCCCGGCTCCGGCAAACTCCCCCAAAGGTGCTGGACCAGGGAGGTCCAACCCGTATTTCTTTATTGCCAACTTCCATTGGCTCCTGCCAGCCAATCTCGAAAAAAGAAATCCTGGCATTGGAAAAGGTTCCGAAAAGGGCCACAAAAAGGCTGAGGGGTTTGGAGCGGGTCCCATAGGAAGAGATTAAAAAGACGGGGACTTTTCAGCTTAGAAAAGAGGAGACGAAGGGGGGGGGGGGAAGAGAAGAGGGGGGGGGGGGAAGAGGATGGAGTCTATAAAATCATGACAGGCCTGGAGAAAGTGAATAAGGAAAAGTTATTTACTTGTTCCCATCACACAAGAGCTAGAGGGCACCCAATGAAATGAATAGGCTGCAGGTTTAAAGCAAACAAAAGGAAGTTTTCCTTCACGCAGCACTCAGCCAACCTGTGGAACTCCTTGCTAGAGGATGTTGAGAAAGCTAGGACTTCGACAGGGTTCACAAAAGAACTAGATACATTCATGGAGATGAGGTCCATCGATGATTAGCCAGGAGGGGGTGGTGTCCCTGAACTGTTTGTCAGGGGCTGGGATTAGGTGACAGGGAAGGGATCACTCCATTTCCTGTTCTGTTCCCTCCCTCTGGGGCACCTGGCGTTGGCCGCTGTCGGCAGCCAGGACACTGGGCTAGAGGGACCGTTGGTCTGACCCCAGCTGGCCTCTCCGATGTTCCTATGAACTCTAGGAATTTGAAAGACAAATTCCACCAGGCCAGGCACATACCTGCACTCCTCTCCTTCCAGCAGTTTCCTGTACATGGCGATCTCTACATCTAGGGACATTTTGATGCCCAGAACCTGCTGGTACTCTTTCATTATGTTCGCCAGATCCTTCTTGTCGTTATGCAGGGCGGCCTCCAGCTCTGCCAGTTTCTTCTTGGCATCCTCGAGAGCCGCCTCGCCCTTCTGCTCAGCATCGGCGATGGCTGTCTGCAGTTGGGCAATCTGGGAAGAGGAACCACCACGTCTCGAGTCCACCTCCTTTGTCATCAACTCCGTCAAGGCAACGGGGGAGGGGAGAGAGGGCTGGCACCAGGGCTGGGCCACGGCTGAAGCTGTCAACGTGTCCCCCCCTCCATGAAAAAGTTCTGCCCCGCGTCCAAAGTTTGGAGAGGGGCGGGGCGGCCAAAAGATCTCCACCAAAAACGTGGATTCCCCCCTCTCCCGATAAAACAGGACGCTTTTTTATGAGCCGTGGCCACCAGCTGTCACTGGAGCTGGGGGACGCCGGAGCATGGCGAGCGGAAAGCCATAGGTTTCCTGGGCAGCCCCTTCCCTGCTGCACCGGGGCTCGCTTGCATTGGGCCCCGCCACCCCAAACGGCGTGACTCCACGCCGGCAGCTCTTGGGACCCAGGGGCCGGTGAGGCCCGAGACAATTCCCGGGCTCTTACCTGCTTCTTCACACTCTCAATTTCTGCCCGCATCTTATGGATGTTCCTCGTGAGCTCCTGGATCTCCGCCTTGCTGTTACGCAGGCTGTCGCCGTATTTCCCGGCTGCGCTCTGCAGCTCTTCGTACTGAGGGCCAGAAACGAAACCCCCCGTCAGCCACACGGCGCCAAGGCCGACAACGCGATGGAGGAACCTGCGACCCCCAGCTTGCCTAGATCCGGCCCCCGCAGCTCAGGGCTCCCTTCTTGGCTGGGGCCGGAGCAGCCAAATCTACTACCCTGGGCTCTCAGGCTCCGGTGTGCGAGGACAACATGGCGACAGTCTTTCTCCTCCGCAATTGTCACCGAGGGTTTGGGGGTTTGCTTCTCACTTGTGTGCAGCCCCCGACTGAATTTTCTGTGGGTCCCCTTCCAGCCAAAAAGGGTTCCCCACCCCTCCCCTGCCCTACGGTGTCTCCATCAGGTGCCTATCTGAAGGCCGAGCTCCTAGGGAAATGCAGGGATCCCATTCAGCATTTCCCCCGCCAGCATCCCCAAGCGCGGGGAGCTGCCTGGGAGCCGGTCGGGGTCACTACTCGCTTCCGAGGTGTAGCTCTTCGCGAGGGAGCCGCAGGGCTGCGTTCCCACCCGTCGCGTCTTCAGCAGCACGGGGACTTACCTTGCTCTGGTACCACGCCTCCGCCTCGGCTCTGCTCTTCCTCGCGATCTCCTCGTACTGACAACGGACCTCCTCGATGAGCCCCTCCATGTCAAGACTCCTGTTGTTGTCCATGTTGACCACCACGGAGAGGTCCCGACTCACAGTTTGCAGCGAATTAATCTCCTGCAAGACACGCCCTTGCTGAGCCTCTCTCTCCTGGAGCTCTCATCCGGGTTGCTTCCCACGTCTGCCAAGCTGCCTAGCCTCCAGGCAACACCCCACCTGCTTTTTTCCCCCCTCCACTCTTTTTCTGCTTTATAGTTCAGGGGCTCTGCTCTGCTTCTCTGGGCTCTCGTTCCACTCATCTGAAGAAGTGGGCCGTGCCTCCGAACGCTCACGCCTCTGGGTTGGTTTGTTTTTTAGTCTCTAAGGTGCGACAGGTTTTGGCGTTTCTCGAGAGGTCGGTTTGACTGTTTCAGTGCAGCACAGCTGTAATCGGCCGTGGAACAAACAGCCAGGAGCGATGCACGGAAAGGACCTGGAGAGTCACATCTCCCTCCCTCCAGAGAGGCAAGGAGCAGCTGCTGGGCAGGTGGAGGAAACCACGCTGCCTGGGGAGTTCTTACAGAAACGGAGGTGTTGCCAAATGGTCTTTGGCTTGTTTCTAACAGCCCGGCAGCAGAGCCAAAGCCTTAAAGCAAAACCTTGTCTTGTGGTGTTAAAGCAACCCCAACCTGGTCTCCAAAAGAAACCAGTTTGCACCTACATGTTATTCTTACTCTTGTAGGAGGTGAAAACTTGACCGAATTAAACTCGGTGGCAAACGTCCCATTGAGTCACTAGGGCCAGGGTTTAACCCAATGACTCTGAAAAGGCTGTTGAGTGGCAAAGCAAACCCAGAACGGGTCCCCAGCCCTGTGCATCACCCACTTCTCCCCAGCTACAACAATCACACGTGGTTACGTCGTGCAAGAGCTCTAGATCCCTATTTATGCTGTAGGTACGTAGCCAGCTGCCATCCTAAAGGAGATTGGCAGGGCCTGGTATTTGGTTCTCAGGTTAGACATGAGCCCATCTCTTGCTGTACGGAGTTGGACTCTGGCACAGACGTTTGCATGGGGATGGGGGGGTTCGTCAGTTTCTAACAGCATCCCCCAAAGGAAATCCAACCCTGATGTCTAATCAACATCAAGCCTCTTTAGGAGGGACCTTGCTCACCCAAGTACCAGCCGCCCAAGAGAAACGGAAGATGCCTTACTATATCATACACGTGCGTCAAGAAGTTGATTTCATCAGTCAAACAATTCACCCTGGTTTCCAACTCAACTTTAGACAAGTATGCAGAATCCACATCCTGAGGGAATGATCAGAGATACCATGGATTGATTAGTCTCCCCTTGGGGCTTCAGAAAGATGTGGACATTTGGGATTGGTTCTTGGTCGCCTCATTACTAGGAGACCCAGGTGACCTGGCCTAAAGTCATTCCTTTGCGCCTCTCTGAAGGTTAGGATGGCCTTGCTTCCCTTCCTCTCCCCTTCCCAAATATCCTTTCGGAAGATTTCGTGGACGTTCCCCAAGGGGCTGGATTGGCGGGCAGCGATCGATCCAGCGGGGTCAATTCACCATGTCTAATGCAGACGCGATAAATCGAGCACCGAGCACTCTCCCGTCAACTTACCCCGGGAACGGCTCACAGGAAGCACTGTGTCGGGTGCTGGAGAAATGCCTGCATGGACAGACATATATTTGGGATATATAGTTGGGATTGGTCCTGCCTAGAGCAGGGGGCTGGACTTGATGGTCTTCTGAGGTCTCTTCCAACTCTATGGTTCTATGATTCTATATTTTTCTAGGTGTCTTCCAAATTCAGTTAGCCAAGTGCATGCAGCTCTTGGGTTGGAAGAGAGAGACTGGAAGAGCTCAGGCGCTCTGGTGCGGGCTTGGAGACCCAAAGCCATCGCAGTCTGATTTCCCAGGGCTACCTTTCCGGTGGAGAGAGAATCGTGTGGTGGTTGTGTCGCGAGCGTCGCCGCTTACCTTCTTGAGCAGCACAAATTCGTTCTCGGCTTCCGTGCGCTTGTTGATTTCATCTTCGTACCTGTTTCCAGGAAAGAGACATGCTGGGTTTATTTGCGCTTGGCTGTGTACGTCACCGGCAAAGCAAGGCTCGGCTCAACCGGGCGTTTCAAGTCAAGCCAAATCACCGAGGTATCGAAACTGTAGGATCAGAGACTTGGAGAACTGGAAGGAACCGGTCATCAAGTCTAGTTCCCTGCCCTTCAAGCAGGACCAAATCCGAGCTCCCATGGAACTCTCTGCTATCACCTCTATTTCCTCCCCTTTATACAACACAGTGTTCATGCAGGACCCTCCAGCTTTTCCTGCCACTACCTCCGAGTCGCTACCATCCAGATGGGCCCCAAGTCCTTACTCCTCCATCCTTCCCAACTCTCTAAGTGCCCTTCTACACCTTTTTGCACCCAACCGATTGACACCCGGATCAGAAAGGTTAATTATATACCTCTAAATGGATAACGTGGGGGTTTTCCCCTTAACTAGTAACTAAAAATGTTTTTTTCTGTTCTTGCTCTTTATCCTTTGTTCTAGGAGACAGATTTTCAAGCCACAGATGGGAATCAATGGTCCCGTCACCACTGACTTCCCGGGATGGGGGCCTCTCTGTCATGGGTGCTTTTGAAAGCAGGTGATGTTGGGATTTTCAGCCATAACTGGAATCAAAGAATTCATGCCTGGGGATGGTTAGAGCTGCCATTCTGCACTGGCAAGGCTGAGGACATTGATGGATCAAGTTTGCTACAGCCGCACTATGGATTGTTGTAATCCAATGTTTCATTTCCTACTCTCCTCATGCACTTACTTTTTCTTGAAGTCGGCAACATATGATTGCAAGTCCTCCAACTCGGACTGGTATTGCAGCTTCCGATTATTAATTTTCTCCACCTCTCCCTTCAGGTTCATTATATATTTCTCAAAGTAAGGCGTCAGGTCACATTTGATTGTTCCGCCTTGCTGTTGTAAGAGGTCGTACTTGGTTTGCAGAACTTTGTTTTGCTGTTCCAAAAACCGGACCTGAAACCCAGAAAGCAGAGGGATGAAGCGTTCCCTAGAATCCAGAATTTGAACCAGCGGCACGACCCATGGATTCTGCTGGCGGGCCATGCCAATGGGAGCGCGCTCTCTCAGTCCTCAAAAGGTTCACATCCCACCCTTCGAACAGGTGATGATATTTTGGAATTTCTACTCCCCCCCCAAAAAAAATTGCACCGGCATTTTCATGGCCTGGTGGGTACCCTGTTTTGCAGAGACTTGGAGCTCCCGAAAATGTTGCAACGTCTTGAAGATTTGAGAAGCTATTTTTGAAAAACACGTGCGATCTGCCCCATCCCCAGATATACACACACACACACACACACACACAGTAACCAGTTCTTTGCAACATAACTCAGGATTATTCAAACAAACCTCAGAATGGCAACCAAAAAGCATCTGATGTAGCTTTTGATTCCCTGCTCTCTCTCTCTCTCGTTGAAAAATTCAAGCCTATTTCTGATCACTGCCAAAGGAGAACCCTCTTTTCAATTCTCCCTTCCTACCCAAACAGCGACGGATGCCTAAAACCCACCCTTCCTGCCTGGTGCAAGGTCGTTCCCAGCCCCCCCTCCTGCCATGATGTCTCACCTTGTCGATGAAGCCTGCAAACTTGTTGTTGAGGGTTTTGATCTGCTCCTTCTCCTCTGTTTTCACTTGCTGGAGTTGAGGATCGATCTCCACATTGATTGGCTTCAGGAGGCTGGAGTCAATTTGAACGTTCTGGATGCCTCCAGGGAACCCCCCACAAGGCCCTCCAGGGAACCCCCCGCCAGGCCCTGCAGGGAACCCCCCGCCAGGCATGCAAGGCCCTCCAGGGAACCCCCCGCCAGGCATGCAAGGCCCTCCAGGGAAGCCAGGTCCACCGCCAGGTCCACCAAATCCGAAGCCACCGCCTACTCCATAGCCACACACACCCCCTCCAAAGCCACCGGCTCCTCCGCCTCCACCTCCGCCTACGCCACACAACCCACCAGCCCCACCCCCAAAGCCACCTCTGCACACGTATCCTCCAGTGTTACAGCTCGCCATGGAAATGGCTCTATTGCCGCCTACGTTATACATGCTCCTGCTCCCAAAACCTCCAAGCCACCGCCTACTCCATAGCCACACACACCCCCTCCAAAGCCACCGGCTCCTCCGCCTCCACCTCCGCCTACGCCACACAACCCACCAGCCCCACCCCCAAAGCCACCTCTGCACACGTATCCTCCAGTGTTACAGCTCGCCATGGAAATGGCTCTATTGCCGCCTACGTTATACATGCTCCTGCTCCCAAAACCTCCACCGCGGACACCACCTCCATGGCCCCCGGAGGAAGAGTAGACGCTGTAGCAACTCCTGCCTCGGTTTCCCAGTCCGCCACTTGTCCCGACGGCAGAGTGGGAGCTAAAGCTCTTTTTGCTGCCTCCAGAGGACTTCGTGTCCCTCTGCACATACATGGCTGCTCCTTTCTAAAGAGAGGGGAAGATGAAGAGGAGAGGAATCGCCTAGCGAAGAAGGGCAAAGAGAGGAGTGCAGAGTGAAGGGAAATGAGTCCCTCTGAAGCCCGTCCTGGAGATGCTCCCTTTTAGCTGCTTCGGGAGCTGGGCTGGGCTTGCTGGGGCGTGACCCAGGCGATTACTGTCTTGTGTTCTTCGGCGTGGTGTGGTTGACAGATTTTGATCTTCGATTTGCCAAACACTGGCCCTCCCCAGCCACACCCCCTGCTGTGCCGAGGCAGGGGGGGAACACCCCGACTGAAGAGTGTGGCCTCCCCCTCGCGGGAACGCTCTATGACTAAGCTGCGTTGCACCGTGTTGTGTTTTTTTAGGGTGGCTCGGAGCGGCTGCCTTCACACGGGGACCCTTTATCTGCATCTTTATCGGGCGCGCGCCTCCGAAAGTCCCAGGGCAGGCAAGCGGCCCAGGGGCTGCCAAATTCATTGCACCACTCTCCCGAGTGATGACACCCGCAATCGGCTTTCTCCATGGAAAATCGCCCGGGGTGCCGGAGTCTTGCCCAATCTCCCGCAGGTGGAGGAGGCGCGGCACCGTCGCACGGAGGGAAACGCTGCAGCAGAGGGGATGAATTTGGGCTGCTCGCCCCCACGCTGCCCCCTAAAAGCCCCCCTCGGAAATGGAAGCGCCCCTTCCCGGCTGCCCTGGCTGCCGCAGAGGGGCAGCCGAGCCTCTGGGACCGACGGGGAGGGAAAACCCCTACAATAACGGCCGCACAGCGCGGCTGCAGCCGGCCCAGGTTGGCCACCTGGTGCTCCCCGGGCCTGGGCTGTAGGGTGGAGAATTTCTCCCGCTGTCCCGGCTAGGGCTGGAGGCCCTGGGACTTTTTCCTCCTTGCACTCACTCGGCAAGTCTGTACCCCACAGCCTCATCTCCTGCCCGGGGCCAGCCCCGAGTGGTGCCTGGCTGGGTGATGCTCTCCTGGGCGAGGGGTCTGGGTGGGGAAATCCCAGAGCCAGACAGGCAGAAAACCAGAGAGCTGAGTACGAAATGGCAGAGAGAGACAGAGAGTGTACGGGGATACGTAGGCAGAGAGACAGACAGAGTGTATAGAGATGGATAGACAGACAGACAGAGAGTGTATGGGGATACGTAGACAGACAGACAGAGAGTGTATGGAGATGGATAGACAGACAGACAGAGTTTATGGGGAACGTAAACAGACAGACAGAGAGTGTATGGGGATACGTAGACACATAGACAGACAGAGTGTATAGAGATGGATAGACAGACAGACAGAGAGTGTATGGGGATATCGAAAGAGAACACCCAGGCAGTCTGGATGCACTCTTTCGAGAAAGCACAGCTTGCATTACAGAGCGCCTTTTTTCGAAAGAGCACTTTCAGAAAAAGGCATTCCTCCTCATAAAAACGGCCGCGGGGTAGAATGGGTCAAGACAGAACCCATGAATAGGACAATGAAAGGCAGAAAGGTGGACTCTGATGCTATGTCTACGCTACAAGATTTTTTGGCAGAAAATATGCTAACGAGAGACTCGTTTGCATGAGTCGTGACTTCATTAGCATATTTTCTGCCATTTCTTTTTGAGCAAAGGGTTTTTGCACAAAAAGAAGAAGTGTGGATGCCTCCTTTTTGCGCAAAAACCCTGTTTTGTGTATGGGGATACGTAGGCAGATAGACAGGCAGAATGTATGGAGATGGATAGACAGAGAGTGTATGGGGATACGTAGACAGATAGACAGACAGAGTGTATGGAGATGGATAGACAGACAGACAGAGAGTGTATGGGGATATGTAAACAGACAGACAGAGAGTGTATGGGGATACGTAAACAGACAGACAGAGAGTGTATGGGGATACGTAGACAGATAGACAGACAGAGTGTATGGAGATGGATAGACAGACAGACAGAGAGTGTATGGGGATACGTAGACACATAGACAGACAGAGTGTATAGAGATGGATAGACAGACAGAGAGGTTGAATTTCAAAAAAAGCAACGATGCTCTACTGTACAAAACCAGCCGCTATTCCGGAAAAACTACGCTGCTCCCGCTTGGCCATAAGTCCTTATTCCGGAACACTGTTCTGGAAAAGGGCCAGTGTAGACAGCCCAGTAGTCTTTTCCGGAAAAAGACCCCGATCGCGAAAATGACGATCTGGGCTCTTTTCCGGAAAAGCGCGTCTACATTGGCCACAGATGCTTTTCCGGAAAAAGGGCTTTTCCGGAAAAGCAGCCTGCCAGTGTAGACGCTCCTTTTCCGGAAATACTTATAACGAAAACTATTTCTATTTCAAGCATTTCCGGAAATTCATGCCAGTGTAGACACAGCCAGAGAGTGTATGGAGATGGGTAGATTGGACGGATGGATAGATAGAGAGGAGTGTGGGGATGGGTGGATAGATAGATACAGAAGAGTGTGGGGATAGGTGGATAGATAGATACAGAGGAGCGTGGGGATAGATAGATAGTAGGTGGGTAGGTAGGCAGATAGGGAGAGACACAGACTTACGTACAGATGACTGGTGCTTGGGGGAGGCAGCGGGTGCAGGGAGAGCCACCCAGAGGAACAGGGGGGGAGCATGTGGGGCACCCCATTTAGTAATTAAAGTCGGGGTGGGGGTGGTGCGCTTCCCAGGTGCTACAAGTCACCCGTGTCCTTGCGTACGCCGCGCTAGGCATGCCTGCAGCGCTGGCTAGGTACACAACACACCTGTTGAGCACCGTCAGCCGAGAGCGAGAGAGATCTGGGAATCCGTGCGGAAGTTCAGCTCTCTGGCTGGATGCTCTCTCGCGTGCGCCTGTAGATTCCCGTGGCCCATTGGCTCCCCGCCTGCCAGCCTGAATGCAGGACACAAGTGATGGGGCAGATTTCTCAAAGCCCCCTTTGGATTCCGGCCCCTGGGCCCAGAGAGCCACTGGCTGCTCTGCCAATTGCCAAATCCACAATCAGGGAAATCTCCAGTCCCGCTGCATTGCGACAGTCAGGGGGAATTGTTAACTCAGCTGAATGCAGCTGCCCTCCTTTAAGTCCCTTGTATGCGCCCAGATAACGCACCCGGCTGAGTCACAGCAGCATCTCCAGCCAGAGCCAGGCAATTAATGCGCGATTTTTATCATCAATCACCTGCATCCAGTTGAAACTTGACAGTCTGAGCCCCAGCCTTGCAAACCAAACAGCCTTGTATCAGCTGTGCTGACTCTGGAGAAAAGTCCAGGCAGAGAGGGAGCTTCCCGACAGGAGGGCCTGGTGGGACAAGCACTCTGCCCCGACCATGATCCTCCACAGGTACACCTTGATCCCACATCCTGGCAGAGCAGTGCTGGACAAGCATCTCTAGGGCACCCACCGACCCAGACACTCCTCCTGAGAGCGAGGCACTGTGATACTGCTTGCTACTACCAAGGTGTAGATCCATACAAAAGGCAAGGAACAGACTGTCGATCGGATGCATGTTGTTTCCAGCAGATGTGGATCCACATTTTTACGTACACGCATGGCTCCAGAGATCCTCAGCTCCTCTGAGCAGAAGATGGAGACACAAGAATTTAGCGTATGCTCCCAAATGTACAGGAGATCCTCTTCTAGAAATCTGTTCATCTGAGGGAACTGACAGCGTCCCCTGTCTGCCAAAGGTAGGAAAGTTGCTTCACCAGAATGAAGGCTACCACACGGCATCTTCCCTTCCCTAGAGGGGTGGTCTCCAACCTTTTTAAGCACGAGATCACTTTTGGAATTGAAGTGCAATCCAGGCTCTACCTCGACGCAAATCCCCTGGCCCCGCCTCCTTCCTGCCCCTTTTCTGAGGCCCCGCCCCTGCTCACTCTGTCCTCCCTCCTCCCCCATCCTCCCTCCTTTTCACCAGGCAGGGGCAGAGGGCTGGGCACAGGCTCTGGTCTTGGGTCTTGGTTTGGGGGGTGCGAGGGGCTCTGAGCTGAGCCTGGGGCAGGGAGTTGGGGTGCAGAAGAGGGGGCAGGATACAGGCTTTGTAAAGGAGTTTGAGTCCAGGGGGCTCAGGGATGCAGGAGTCTGGGGGGGGGGGGCAGTGGGGCTGAGGCAGTCTCACCCCTGCCCTGGCCCTGCACCACTCCCCAAAGCAGGCAGCAAACTCCCTCCCAAGTCCTGTGCTTCCCCCCATCCATTCTACGGAGATAGGATGCTGGGTGGGAGGGGGCACCCTGACATCAGCTCCCCCTCCTCTCCCTCTGGCGGGGGGGAGGGCAGCTCCAAGGCAAAGGGCAGGAGATGCCCAGCAGTGGGGGGAAGGGCGGATGACGTGTGGGCACTTGAGAGCCTCCCAGCCAAACCAGTCGGGATCCCCTGCCAGAGGCGCCGAGATCTCCCGGGAGATCCCGATCGACTGGCGGGTGGGTTAGATCACCACCCTGGTTTGTTTGGCTTAATTGTGGGGGGAATCACGTCGCCTCTTGCTGTGTAAGTCACACGCTCTCATTTCACTTATTCCCACATTTGCCATGCAACATATGACTGGACTATGTAGCCACCTACATAAGCACGGCCAGACGGGGTCAGACCAAAGGGCCATCCAGCCCAGCGTCCTGTCTGCCCACAGTGGCCAGTGCCAGGTGCCCCAGAGGGCGTGAACAGAACAGGAAATCATTGCGTGATCCCTCCCCTGTCGCCCGTTCCCAGCCTCTAACAGAGACTAGGAACACGATTCCTGCCCATCCTGCCTAATAGCCATTGATGGACCTAACCTCCATGAATGTTTCTAGTTCTTTTTTGAATCCTGTTAAAGTCCTAGCCTTCACAACCTCCTCTGGCAAGGAGTTCCACAGGTTAACCGAGCACTGCATGAAGAAAAACTTCCTTTGATTTGTTTTAAACCTGCTGCCTATTCATTTCATTGGGTCACCCCTAGTTCTTTGGCGTCCACCTAAGCGATTACATAGCTCTCGTGGCCAAAATAACCCTGCATCTCACAAGCATTCGTGGGTTTAAGCCTCACAACTCTCCTGGAAAATAAGGAACCATTATCCTCACCAGCCAAAAAAATGAAGATTCGGCAACACTGAATTGTTTCCCCCATTTGGGCCATGTTGTTTTAGCAGGAAGGGGAGGAAAACTAGTTTGAAAGGAAA